ACATCTGCTCAATAAGGCCATTTAAAGCTTCTCGCATCTTCCTAGCTCTAGCTCTCGTGACTGGACCTCCTGGAATGTGTAATGGATCTCTTGACATGGTACATGTAGGGTCATCTTGATTCCCATCACTCCCTCTCTCCTCAAATCGTCACCTACATCAAAAGGAGAAAGATCAGAAACATTAAAAGTAGCATTAACATTATACTCACCAGGAAGCTCCAACTTGTATGCGTTGTTGTTTACCCTTGCAATCACTTGAAATGGTCCATCGCCTCTTAGTTGCAACTTAGAACGCCTTTGTTCAGGGAATCGCTCTTTCCGCATATTCACCCAAACCGAATCTCCAGGCTCAAACACAACTTTCTTGCGCCCTTTGTTGGCTTGATTTGCATATTGCTCAGTTCGTCGCTTTATGTTTTGTTGCACCCTCTCATGTAGTTGCTTAACCACTTCAGCTTTCGTTTTCTCATCCAAACTAGCTTGTTCATCAATAGGTAATGGCAATAAATCCAAAGGAGTGAGTGGATTAAAACCATACGCAACCTCAAATGGCGAACAGTTAGTTGCTAAATGGATGCTCCGGTTATAAGCAAATTCAACATGTGGCAAACGGTCTTCCCAATTCTTCAAGTTCTTCTGAATAATAGAACGCTATAAGGTTGACAACGTCCTATTAACCATTTCTGTTTGTCCATCAGTTTGTGGATGACAAGTAGTTGAAAACAGTAGCTCAGTTCCCAGCTTTCCCCACAATGTCTTCCAAAAGTAACTCAAGAACTTGACATCGCGATCAGAAACGATAGTCCTTGGAATGCCATGTAAACGAACAACGTCCTTGAAGAATAGATCCGCAATATTGGTTGCATCGTCAGTTTTATGACATGGAATGAAGTGTGCCATCTTTGAGAACCTACGAGAGATAATGCATCAACCACAATGTTTTCCTTTCCTTGCTTATACTTGATGATCACATAGGGAAACATCTCAAGGAATTCCACCCACTTAGCATGTTGTCTATTCAACTTACCTTGTCCCTCCAGGTGCTTCAACGACTCATGATCAGTATGTAACTCCTTAGGCCAAAGATAATGCTGCCATGTCTCTAAAGCTCTTACCAATGCATACATCTCCTTGTCATAAGTAGGATAGTTAAGTGCTGCATCAGTCAATTTTTCATTGAAAAACGCAATAGGTCGCCGCTCTTGCATCAAAACAGCGCCAATGCCAATACATCCAACACTTTTTTTCACAATATCAGTTAACAGTGCTGCAATTGTGCTGAAATCCTTAATGAATCTCTGGTAGAAACTTGCCAAACCATGAAAACTCCGCACCTCAGAAATATTTTTAGGTGTTGGCCATTCTTTAATAGCCTTAAGCTTTTCTTCATCTACTGCGATTCCATCAGCTGAAACAACATACCCTAAAAAAACAATCTGATTTGTGCAAAAGGAACACTATTTAAGGTTAGCAAACAACTTTTCTTTTCTCATCACCTTTAGTACCATTCACACATGCTCAATATGTTCAATTAAACTCTTGCTATATATCAGAATGTCGTCAAAATAAACAACCACAAATTTGCCAATGAAAGCACGCAAAACATGATTCATTAATCGCATGAATGTACTAGGCGCATTAGTTAATCCAAATGGCATAACTAACCACTCATATAAACCATGTTTCATTTTAAAGGCTGTTTTCCATTCATTTCCTTCCTTCATCCTAATCTGATGATATCCACTCTTTAAATCAATTTTAGAGAATATGCAAGAACCATGCAACTCATCTAACATGTCATCTAATCTAAGAATAGGGTGACGATACTTTACAGTGATTTTGTTGACCGCGTGACAATCAACGCACATACGCCAAGTCCCATCCTTCTTAGGCACAAGTAGCACTAGAACAGCACATGGACTCATGCTTTCTCTCACATGTCCCTTTTTCATGAGGTCTTCGACCTGCCTTTGAAGTTCTTTCATCTCATTGGGATTGCTTCGATATGCTGGTCGGTTTGGAATTGTTGCACCAGGAATGAAGTCAATTTGATGCTCGATTCCTCTTATTGGTGGTAAACCATTAGGAACGTCATCTGGAAAGACATCCTTGAAGTCCTGCAAAAGAGATTTAACAACACTAGGCAAAGAATCATTAAGTTCGTTAGTGTTGAAATAAGCATCTTTATACAGAAGCACAAACATAGGCTGCTTTGCAAAGAACACAGCCTTGACATCACTTTCTTTTGCATAAACACTCACTGATTTTCTCTCTCTTTGTTTTCAACACTCTCAATCTTTTCTCTCTTTTTGGACTCTTTTTCTGCTATTTTCTCTTTGTTTTTCATACCCTCAAGCTCACTCTCATTTCTCAGCTCACTCTCTTTTTTACTCTCAGTTGATCCTCATAAACCTGCCTTGGACTCAATGGTGCAAGAGTAATTGTTTTCCCCTCCATGACAAATGAATAGCAATTTTTGAAGCCATCATGTGTTACCCTCCTATCATATTGCCATGGTCTCCCTAAAAGTAAATGTCCAGCATGCATAGGAACCACGTCACAAAGTACCTCATCCTTATATCGTCCAATAGAGAATGAAACCAGAACTTGCTTATTTACCTTGATTTCTTCACAATCGTTTAACCATTGCAGCTTATATGGCCTTGGATGCTTCATCATAGGTAAATTAAGCTTTTCAACTAAAACAGTGCTAGCTACATTAGTACAACTACCACCCTCAATAATCACACTACATACCTTGTTTTTGACATGGCACCTCATGTGAAATATATTGTCACATTGTACTTCATCATCTTCTTTGGCTTGCACATTCAAAGCTCGCCTAGTGACAAGCAGTTCTCCATCAACGGCATATTCCACCTTCTTTTCCCACTCCAAATATAAATCTGGATCATTTTTGCCTTGAAATGGAGGAATCTTCATCTTGATGCTGCCTAACTCATGATCTTGCCGATCTCCCCACCTTGCCAAATTTTGGTCTCCTTTGTTAAATCTGTATCTTTGACCCCCTCTACCCCTCATAAATCTGTCCATGCTGAAATTTGAGTTATGGGCATCATTGTTGAATGCATCTTCATCATTGCCATCAAGATCGTGATTATGCAAATTTGGACTTCCATTCTGTATTTGGTATAACTTGGCAATGGCTATATCTTGCTTCTCCATTTTGTCTTTAATTTCACCAAACATGATGTCGAGCCTCTGAAATTGTTGTTGCATAGCTTTGAGCATGAAGGAATCATCCTCTTGGTGTTTTCTGTCATCACCGCTTGACATGATTGAAACCTGCAAGGAATGTTAGAAACAGAAAATAAAAGGACCTCACAACACTCCCTTACTTGTTTCACTCCACTCTCTCACAGAATGGCACTTAACACTCGTGTTTCACCTCTTGCCTTTTTCCTTCACTCAACTTTCCTCTTTCAATTCGTTATTGAACTAAACAAGCTCAATTCAAGTTATTTTGCAGCAATCTAATTCCAATAAATCTGCAACAAGAGTTGAAGGAAACGAAAAGACACGAAAGAACCAACAAGAAAAGCAATAAAAGAAACAAACTGAAACGAATTAAAAGAAAAAAGAAAGAAAAAAAATGGAAATTCTATTGAAACACAATGCATAAAAGACAAATCAGTTCTAACACTTCCTACTAGGTATTGACTTGACAATTCCTTAATGTAGCAGGATTCCTAACGTAGGAAGGAATAAACAAAATTGCTATCTCCTTATTTGAATAGAACTCAAAGAGAATTTCCAACTCCTTATTGGAGTAGGATTCCTTCTTCTTTAAGGATTTGGCCACAGATTTCTTCTCTATATAAGGAA